AAGAATTTTTATAATAAAATTGCCTAAATTTGATTGTTGTTGTTTTATTTTTTAAATAAAAGTTAAATTTGAGCATAATATATTGTCTACGTTTTAGTCTTAAAAATTTCTTGCATAGGGTAACATACTAAATGTGTTACAAAAATGTAAAAATCATTTATAATTTTCAATTAATAAGAGATACGCACGGAAAATGCAGTCAAATTCTGCAATCAAAATAAACCAAATTCAAGCCATTAAAAAGTTGTGTGTCATGGCCTCTCACATTTAAGATGTCTGAATAAAATGTTCACCGAGTCGCCTATGGTTATTATATGCTGAAATGCATGTTCTATCTCATGAGAATTTTAATTATAAATGAACTATGACTTGACATTTGTTATGAAGTATAATTATTCAAACCTTTGTGCTGTGCTTTATCTTAAAGAATGAGAAGATAACACTTTTTTGGGGGTTCCAAAAAAAAAAAAAAACCTTGAGGATTATAGCTCAACAATCACATTTTAATATGTTTGGGATTATTTTTTGGTTGGTTGTTTGAAGTTCATGAATCTCTCATTCATTTGGAAGTTCGAAAAATAACAAAATTAGACATAGTTCAACTAATTTTCTTTTTCCTTGATCATCTTGTTTTTCCTTTTATAGAAAAAATATACGCGGCGCTCAACAACATGCACGTTCCACTAGCGAGTTAGGTTAGATTTTATTTCCACAGGACAGACACGTTATTTTTTATTTTTTTGGTAAATAACAGACACGTTATTCGAATAAGTGGTCCGAAGATTTTATACTCTCACTGTTTTAGTTTTGAATTTATTGCTCACAGACATGTTATCCGAAAAAATAGTTGCTGCAATTAATACAATTAGTTTTGATAGTTGCAGCAAAGTATACGAAATATTTTTATTATTAGGATTTAAAAACTAATTAATTAAACAACATAATCATGGAATCACCATTGAATTAGTTGTGAGTTAAATATATAACTCTATCACCAAACACACGAATCAATTAATAAAAAATTATTTCAATTTAACTAATAATCTCGAGTTCAAGTCCTTAAAATATACAATTGTGTTATTGAATCCGAATAAATCAGTGCAATTAACTTATGATGCATCGACACGCGACACGATACGACACGACACGCCGACCAGGGACGGACCGAGGGGGGTGCTAGGGTAGGCGGCCGCCCCCCTCAAAATTTGAAGAAATTTTTTAACATAAGTACAATGCAAAAAACCTTCATTTTTTCTCTCTATTAATGTGAAGTAGTTTTCTCCCACCGCAGAGAGTTTATAGAGTTTCTTTATATTCACAAGTTTATTTAAGATTACATCACAGTGTTGGGAGTATCACTGACCACCAATAGAGCTACATGATTTCTCTTAGTTCGAATTCTTTTAGCTACATGGCTCTTGTTTGTTGACACAAACCTAGTGGTAACAATTAGCATATGAAATTAGCATTAAATTATGGAGAAATATCTGTTTACAATTTTTTTTACAAATTACACTAAGTATGACTAGTCATACACTCTTGATTAAAGTATGATGGTCAGACACAATATAGTTTGTAAGAGTTTCTAAACGAAAAGTTTGTAAATATAGCATTTCCCTTAAATTATATTTAAACCTCGACTTGAAACTACGAGTTTCAACTTTTATTATGCTTAGATGTTAGCACAAATCCTCCCATCCATGAATAAAAATAAGAAGTCCGAGAGCCTTATGAAAGAATGAACCTTATTCTTTCGATCCCTCTCCTTTTCTGATGATTCGTGACAAAGAGGGAAGTGAAGGGCATCAGGATTTTGGTGATTGTGCTTCTTGGCAATCTGTCTCTTCTGATTTATCTTTGGCTTTTTTTTTCTTGTTGGGCTAATAGTGAGTAAATAGAAAAAGAAGTTAAGAAATGAGAGGGGTCTGCTTTGAATTATCTATTTAGATTATAGTAATTAGTACATATTCTTTGTGAAATCTAAACCTTTGCTCTCTTCTCTTTTTCTTTGTTTTCTTTGCATAAAAAATGTTCATTTTAGGGGTTGAAAATGTGTATTTTTTCAAATTGATAGTAAGATTTTGCCGTGACATCTTCCGCCTCTCTCTCTCTCTCTCTATATAACAAGTTAAAAGAGATATTTATGAGTTATGTTCTCTGGATTGGTATTTCGGCCTCTCACATATTGTGATTGAAGAGAGGAACAAATACTTAATTTTTTCGTATTTTGTCCTCTCATATATTATGTTTGAAGATAGAAACAAATGTTTAATTTTAGCCCCCCACATGAAAAATTCTTGGGTCCGCCACTGACGCCGACACGTTAATTCTAAAAAATGACATATTCCGACACGTTGGGACACGTTTTGATATTACATAATATTTTGAATATATATATAATAATTTATATTTAATACATATAACAGCCCATAATAAGTCATATAATCAATCAAATATTCAAATTTTATAACAAAAATAATTTTTCATACTTTATTAATTTTTCATGTCAAATTTCATAACAGAGAAAAATTGATATATAAATTATTTTTTCATGTTTAGTTAATAAAATAAAATTTAGTTCTAAAACAAAACGTGTCGGATGCGTGTCGGAGTGTTGATCCCATGTTGGAAACAATTGACTGTATGTCGGAAAAATGATGTGTCAGAACATGTCGAAATGTTGACCACGTGTCCCAAAATATTGACCGCGTATCGAAACGTGTCGGGAACATATTGGTGTCCGACACGTAGGGGTGTAAATGGGCTGGGCTGGGCTTTGGCCATCCTGGCCCAAGCCTACGTCAAAAAAAAATTAGCCTTTCTGGCCTACTGGCCTATTAAAGGCTTTATTTGTAGGCCAAGCCCGTCCCATTTTCAAAAATAAGAAAGCCTGACATGGCCTACAGGCCTTGTAGGCCTCTCACTATATATACTAAGCAAAAAAAATAATTGTATAGAGCAAAGAAAGTTCCATTCATGCATGCACTAGCACTTCTCATAAGAAAAAAATGACAAACAAGAAAGAGTCAACATAATACCTCAGCTCTAGAATGTATATCATAGAGGAATAGAGTCAAAGAAATGGAAAAAATAAGAAAAATACAATTACTAGATGCTGAAATAAAGTCTACAAGAGAATGTCATTCATCTAAAATTCTTTAAATCACCATCAAGACAAGGGAAAGAAGAGTATTATTGAAAGATCTTCATCAGTAACATCATAATCCAGCAAGGTACCCATTGTTCCATGGTATTAAGTTGCAACAACATGTAAAATTTGGAGACATTAGACAAGTTTTCCTTTCATAAAATAAAATAGCACAAAAAGTAAGAGATATTGGTATTTGGCACTTTGTGTCTTTGCCACATAAAATAAATATTATTTTATTATTTTATTTTAATAAATTAAATAGGCCAGCCTACAAGGCTGTAGGCCGGGCTTGACAAAATTGGCCTATGGCCTATTTATTAAAAAAGCTATTTTATAAGCCTAAGCCTACTCTACTTTTCGGAAAGGCTGGGCCTGGGCTGGGCTCAATGTAGGCCGGGCCGTAGGCTGGGCTGGGCCAGCCTGGCCCATTTACACCCCCACCGACACGCATCTTTCCATATTTTTTTGCATGTCCGCGCTGTACAGCAGTTAACTATCGAAAATGGGATGATTTAAAAAATAATAATAATAATCACTCTCCAATCTCATATAAGTTATGTAGCAAAGGATCAAGGGCTAATCATGGGTATGAGAGACTCGCAACTACGTGATAACTTGAGCATATTTTTGGTCAGAATTATAATGTTATGCCTTTTTTTTGTTGAATATTTTCTTTTAAGATATTTCAATCAGTTTATCGCTTTACGACAAATCAAATTCAGAGCGGATTTCAAGATTAAAGCTCATTGGATATGATAGTACCTTGAGTTAGGTCAGCTGAGAAGGAATTTGAAGATTGCTTGTGACTTGAATCCCAATCCGAGAAAAATCAAGTTTCATTAACTTCCATCTAGTTTAATTCTCAACTTATCTAAACTAAACTCAATTTTTTAATCTCTAATTTTTTTTGACTTTTTTATAAACATAACTTTAAAAATTATTAAGTTTAAATATATTTTTTAAAGGAAGATTATATTTACAAACTCTTACAAACTAAACTATGTATTTTGGGAAATACACATTTAAGTGTTTGTATTTTCCAAAATATATAATTTAGTTTGTAAGAGTTTGTAAATAAAAAGTCTGTAAATATAATCCTTTCCTATTTTTTATCCCTATAAATATGGCCATTTTATTTGTTTTGTTTCCTCTTCAATTTTCATTTAACTTCTTGTTTATTGTTATTTAAAGTAATAATACTTTGGTCTTTGATATTAACAAGCTCCTCTTACGTGATGATGTGTCAAACAAAATGCCACATCATCAATGTCACGTGTGAGGAGACTTCTTGTTTATTGATATCTGCTTCTGTTTTTCTTATAACATCAATTATTTTATGAATTAAAAAATTACCTACAATACAACAACTATAGACAATACTTTGAATAAATTTAGTGTGTCAAATTTAGGTAGATAATATCAATAAATTATTAACACGTCATTGATTATAAATCAACTATTATTTATTTTGTTAACAATGGTAATTAACATTAATTACTAATAAGTGAATAGTTTATTTTTTAATATATATGATTATGACTCATATCCCTCACACCAATATTATATAATTATTTCAAGTGGCACCTTCCTACAGTTCCCCGTACGACAACTATTAGAAATTTATTGTGGTCTGGTCTGCCTAGCGACTTCTACCTAATTTTCAACCAAAGACACATCATGGCTTAGGGGCTATGGTCACCTCTCCTTCATGGGAAACTTCATTCTATACATACTTGGATAGTGACATTTTCTGCCTCTGAAAATCAACGTTAATCTGTGCTGAAACATTCTATAAATAAGTACCTCTCTCCTAGTTGTAGCTCACAGCAACACATTGCCCCTGTAAATTTATTCATAGATTCTCTCTGATTTAGATTTCATCAATTTCAACTCTCATAGCTACGTACACCACATCGAAAGGACAACAATAAACATAGACTACATGGGGCTGATGAACGTGGACCAACCTCAATTATTATCCAAGATAGCCACTGGCAACGGACATGGTGAAACATCCCTATACTTTGATGGATGGAAGGCTTACGAACAAGACCCTTTTCATCACACCGAGAATCGTAATGGGGTTGTCCAGATGGGTCTTGCAGAAAATCAGGTATAATCTTCTTAATTATCTTAAATTAATTGCTTAGAGGTTCCTACCTTTAAGAGGGTATATATAATATGTATAATATTCTTCTTTTCCCATATTAATTACAATTGAACTATCTTAAATTTTTGCAGCTTACTTCTGATTTGGTTGAAGATTGGATAATGAGTCACCCAGAGGCCTCCATTTGCACTCCAGAAGGAGTAAGCAACTTCAAGGCCATTGCTAACTTTCAGGACTATCATGGTCTGCCAGAGTTCAGAAATGTGAGTTACAAATACAATGGGAAATTTCATCATATCACTTTATTCATTAACAAGTTGAGTTTGACTATTGATATTTGATGCACTGACACGAATTGAAATTGCACAGGCTGTGGCTAAATTCATGGATAGAACGAGAGGAAACAGAGTCACCTTCGACCCTGACCGAATTGTCATGAGCGGTGGAGCAACTGGAGCACATGAAGTCACTACCTTTTGTTTGGCAGATCCTGGTGATGCTTTTTTGGTGCCCACTCCTTATTATCCAGGGTAATACATTCAATTCAATTTTCTCCTCTTTGTTCATCTTTTTTTTAAAAAATAAATAAATAAACTATATTATTAATAACTTTTGAGAATAAAAAGTTATGTCTGCAATGATGTTCTTCAATTAAAATAGAATTGATCTCCACTGAATTGCATTCCTATTAACTTAACATTTCATTTCCCACATAGTAGATTCGGAATTAGAATCTAGGTTAGTGAAAATTGATGGCACTTTTTTTCTAAGGGAATAACTTTGCAGTTTCAACTTATGTTATTCATGTCGTAGTTGGCTGTAGTCAATGGTCATAGCAATGAAAAACCCACCAGTCAAGGTCAAACTCAATTAAATCACAATAAAGTTGCAATTAGTCCACCATTAACATTTATAATTTAATACACGAAAAAATAAAACAAGATAATTTATGTATGATATTTAAGCCATATAATATATATACATAACTTTATTGAAATATACATCTTAATTGCTCTCTAATAAGCAGCCGGGTTTCTTAATGCAGTTTTGATCGGGATTTGAGGTGGAGAACAGGAATTCAACTTTGTCCAGTGATATGTGAAAGCTCTAATAATTTCAAGTTGACAAGGCAAGCGTTGGAAGCAGCCTTTGATAAAGCCAAAGAGGACAACATAAGAGTAAAGGGTTTACTTATTACAAATCCATCTAACCCATTAGGAACTATCATGGACAGAAACACATTAAGAACCGTGGTAAGCTTCATTAATGAAAAGCGTATCCACCTAGTCTGTGATGAAATCTATGCTGCAACAGTTTTTAGCCATCCTGGTTTCATAAGCATTGCTGAGATAATAGAAGAAGGCACAGATATTGAATGTGACCGTGACCTCATTCACATTGTTTATAGTCTTTCAAAAGATATGGGGTTCCCTGGCTTTAGAGTTGGAATCATATACTCGTACAATGATGATGTAGTCCATTGTGCTCGCAAAATGTCCAGCTTTGGATTAGTTTCCACACAGACACAGTATCTAATGGCATCAATGCTATCTGATGATGAGTTTGTGGGAAGGTTCCTTGCAGAGAGTGCAAAGAGGATAGGCCAAAGGTACAGAGTTTTCACAAGGGGCTTGGCAGAAGTTGGCTTAAAGTGTTTGCCAAGCAATGGTGGTCTCTTTGTATGGATGGATTTGCGTCGTCTCCTTAAGAATCCCAACTTTGAATCAGAAATGGAACTTTGGAAAGTGATCATTCATGATGTTAAGATTAATGTTTCACCTGGCTCTTCTTTCCATTGCTCTGAGCCAGGGTGGTTTAGGGCATGCTATGCCAACATGGATGATACAACCGTGCAAGTTTCTTTGCAAAGGATTCGCAACTTTGTGCATCAGAATAAGGAGGTCATGGTATCTCAGAAGAAATCTTGTTGGCAGAGTAACTTAAGGCTTAGTTTCAAATCAAGAAGGATGGATGATATCATGATGTCACCTCACTCCCCCCTACCTCAGTCACCTCTTGTTAAAGCCACGACTTGAATTGGCATATTCAACATTTAGAAGAAATAACTGCTAGAAAGGTTCTTTGGTTCTTAAATTTATTATTTTGGCAAGATACATAACTATTGAGTTTGTTCTTTTAACAAATAACAGGGAATTCCTGACATTGTTTTTGTAACCAACAACACAACCTCTCTCTATTGGGATTTTAGAACTAGTGCTGCAAGATGCCTGCCCCTTCAATCTTGGGGGCTTTTTTTCTTTCTTCACTTACCAAATCATGGATTTATGGTGAAAGAAGTTTATAGAGTTTGTAAGGTTGTTGGTTTAGAAGAGTCCAGAAGATATATGTATTCTGTTACTGAAATTGTAAGGCCAGTGATTATTGAATTGTTAATAAAGCTCTTCAATTTTTTCCCTCCTTTTTGTTTTTTGTATAAATGGAAAGTTTTATATTGCAAAATGACATTAAAAAAAACAAACAAAGGATTTCTTCCTTTTTGCAATGCTAACTGTGCATAAGGCCGGTCGTGGCTGGAGCCTATGCTTTCACATTACAAATTTAGAATGCCGCCATAGATATATATATATATATCTCCTTTGAACAACTATTATATGTAGCAGACAGTAAACAAAAAGTTATATGCAATTGGTATGGAGAAAAAAGCAGACAAAATACAAAAATCAAGAGTCAAATGTCTGCCGTTGATTAATATTACGCTTCTTGTTTCTCTTTCATGCATTGGCGTAGACGTAGGGGTTTATGAGGAATGCAATATGTTTCTAAAGAATGTTAATTTGATAATTGTTTATACCTGCACTTTTGGGGCAGCAAAAAACAGCCTTTACCAAATCAAAGATGTTCCGAGGTAATATTTTATCAGAGATATAGAGCAATGTTGTAGCTGGTGAACATTTCTTTATGTTATCTTGGTCATCTCAGTTGTTACAAGTGAGGGAGCCCAAAATTGGAAAGATTATATAAAATTCTTCCACTAAGAAACCCAATCAATAATAAGTGAAATTGACATTATATCTGAAACTCAATCTTTAAAAAAAAATAAAAAAAATTGGATTAAAGTATGTTACTTAATTAATATGAGACTTAATTACTTATTACTCCCACCTGAATTTCCAACCTCAATCTTATGAGGTTTGCTTGATAATCAGTCATTCTTTCATATAACAGAGTCACAGGACAAGATTTGATACTAGAATTAAGAACGGTTTGCTTAAACAACCATAGATTAGTTAGATGTTGGTTCAAAAACACAATTTCAAATGACATCACTTTGTATCCGGGACAGATTTGGGGAATTACTGAAAGCAAACCATGGCATTAGATCTGATACGAGGGATGACATCAGCTAATTTGAATTAAGAAGGTTGCCTATTCTTACTATGAACTTAGGTTAACATATCAAATCACCACTGATTATAATAAAGATGATATATTTTAGAAGGATTGCATCACAAATAGGGGTGAAAGTGAGTTGGACTACGACGAGCCTTGTCCCGACAAGCCTAAGCTTGTGATAAAAAATTTCAATTTGACCTAGCCTGATAGCGTAGAAGGAGTCTAACTGTTACCATGGTCTGACCCATTTATACAAAATAAATGGCTTGACCTGGCCCGTTAGCATATTAGTTTTAACTTTCAAGCAAAACCAAGAATCAACTTCACAAAAAACTCAAATTATGTTGTTAAAACAAAAATCACAATTTCAACGTCCAAACAGAATCATAAATCACAATAACAACTTATCACAATCTGCCTTTACAATTCCAATGTTATGTAAGTTGGCAAACAATTTGTAAATGTAGAAAACAAAAAATAATATTAGAGAATAGAAAGAAAAAAAATAAGATTAAGAAACATTTTACCTTAGGGGAGGTTATACTTACTACATTTTTTTCTTACTATCAAATCTTAATCGTTGATTTCCGTAAATCTAATAGTTATAATTTATTGGAAATTAGTAATTAATTAATAAGTGTGATCCAATAAATTATAACTGTTAGATTGACAAAAATCAGGGGTTAAGATTTGATAGTAAAAGATAGGAAGAAAAAAATAGTAAGTATAACTTCTCCCAAAAACCTTTTAATATATTCATATACACAATCTAACATGTTGAAATGTCAGTTCCTCCTACATAAAAAATAAAGTCAAATTTCTATTAAAATTTAATCGAATATAATTAAATTATAAAAGAATTTTAGTTGATTAAATTTATACTTTTCATTTTTTCAAGCCATACTTATTTTATTTTATTTAAAATAAATAGTACAATATAGGCCTTATAGGTCAGGTCTTGTAAAATGGGTCTATAGCCTATTTATTAAACAAGCTTTTTTTCAAGACAGAACCCGCACCGTTAATTAAGGAATTTAATTAATAAATTACGAGAAAATAGGAAAGGATTCCATAATTGACCCTAATAATTATTTATGAGGCTTAATAATCGTAATAAGTGATTAAGAATGCTGAAAGTCGCTTTTCAGAAGAAAAGTGCAGATACCGGTTCTGCTAGTCGGTATAAATGCGTGCCGAAAAAGTATCAAGGAAAATTAATGTAAGTGCATGATAATTACTAGAATAATATGTAGGACTTTTAACACGAGTTTCAAGTCCAGATAATGAGAAATGGTGCTGGAAACCGATACTGGCTTGGAAAAGCGCGTACCAAAAAAGTGCTCAGAAAATTATAAGAAAAATATGATAAATCTTAGAAAATTATTTAGTTTCATAATTCAAAGTTTGGGATTAAAATGCTAAGCGTAGCAATTAAAGTTAACACTGTGTGTTTAAGTGGCTTGGGCTATATATACCGTTTGTAAGGGCACAAAACCCTAGAAAACAGTTTCTCTACGTGAGTGTGTGAGGGTGGCTGATCAGCTTGGCTGACTTGTGGGGTTTCTTCTCCATTTTGGGTCCAAGACACTTCCTTTCTTGATTTTTCTTCACACTTTCACTTGGGATACACTTGGTGAGGGTGAGAGCTAGCCTTGGGACTCTATTGCTGGTCTTTTCTGAGTTGAGAGAGCTGCTGTGTGTGAGGTTTTGAGGCTGACTTGGGTTGGTTGTGTGTGGAAGCCTTTGTTTTGGCATTGTGAGGTCCAAGAAGCTTCCTTTGTGTTGAAAGGTCCAAGCTTGTTGATCCATTTTCGTGCACCTTGTTGAGTCAGTCTTGAGGGGCTGATTGTGAGCTCCAAAGAGCAGCCTCTTCTTCTGTTTTGGCCTTTGGTATGTATACCAACCTTTAATCATGAGTTTAATGCTTAAAAATGAAAGCTTGATGCATGTTAAGGTTAAAAGATGATAACTTGTTGGGTGAGGCTTAACACATCTAGAAATGCATGATTAGGTGATTAAAATCGGTAAAAAAGGGAACCTTTTTGGGATATCTTCACGAAAATGCAGAAACTGCATTCTGTCGTGAGATATCCGGATATTTGTCGAACTGATATCCGGATATTGGATATCCGGATACGTGGTTTTGGGATATCCGGATATTGGATATCCAGATATGTGAATCTGTATATCCGGATATTGCATATCCGGATATGGACAGTGAGATATCCGGATATTTTGGGATTTCGCAGAATAGCAGCTGTGCTGTGTGTACAGTAGGCTATTGGGGGTTTGTGGACCCTAGTTTGATGAAGTTGAACTTCTGTATTTAATGGATTAAGCCAGAATCATGGGATTAAGGGCTTGTGGCTTTGTTAGAAGCTTTAAGACTTGAAACCGTAATGAAAAGGCGTTGTCGTAATATTGTATGCTTGTGGTGCATGTTGTTGATGTATTGTTGGTCCATAATAGATTGCGAATCTGCTGTGTCTGGACTTTGAGCTGTGGACTCTTGGCTTTTGGAGTTAGCTTGCAAGGTAAGCTTTCGTGTCCTCGGTTTAGCCATGTTGTGGTTCCATCATGTCCCATGGGGATATGGTTTATGCATGTTGTGTACATGCTTTTGGATATTTGATATGTTGATTGAACTTTACATGTAATGGCTTTTAATATGCATGTGTTGTTTCATCTTGACGGGAAGCCTGAGTATGTAGCGCCATACAAGATGGTGTACCGGGGTGAATGCAAGTGGTACTTACACGGTGTGTAGGTGATAGACGTATACTTGCACTGTCTCTGGCCAGTAGATTAGTATTGACACACATGGCATGATTATCTGCTGCATTGCATTGTTTTAGAAATGATAAATGATAAATTGCTTTTGAACTTATATTGCACATGTAAGTGAGCTTGGGGTGGAAGATCCTTAAGGACTCACTGACTTACTGAGATTTCTAGATTAGAGATCTTACCCCAGGATCAGGTAGTATGGGTACTGATGCCTCGGGCGGCAGGAGGCGAGAGCTTAGCTGATTATGTTTTACTGTTTTATGTTAGCATGACTGGATTTGCGATGCTTTTTATGTTTTCCGCTATTTATGATATGTTGTTGTTGAGACTGATGTTGGGCATGTTGCCTTATTGAGTGAGCATGGGGATTGTCCATGACACTTTCTGTTAGTACTTTTAGTTTGGAGTTGTATAAACTGTTAGATGGTCCGTCTACGTTGTTGTAGTTCCGTGACTAGAGCCACACTTTTATTATCTATGTTATGAGGTATTTCAGTTAGCTGTTTTATTGCAATTACATATAGGCGATGTTTTAATAAATTGATTATTAAGCAAGTTGGTAATGTTAATGGCATCATAATTGAAAAGAAAAAGTAATTCCGCATTTTAATTAAGCGCAGCTTAATACGATATTATGATAACATTACCGGATATATACGGGGTGTTACATTTATGGTATCAGAGCAATGGTTCGAGGGAAAATCCTGTATGTATTGCAATTGCTAGGTTGTTTGGTTGTGTCTGTCTTTGTGTTTACTTCGTCGAATTTTATTATGATGATGTATATGTGATCACATTGCGTGGGCCTGATCAACTCATAATTGTGTAACTTGTGCAGAGTCATGGTAAGGTCCGGGAGAACACGGGAGACTTCTGAGGATCAATCTGATCCTATCCTAACTGCATTGGCTGAGATGCAGGCGGCTAGGTTAGCCGATCAGGAGGCCACTAGATTGGTCAACGCGGCAATGATGGAAGCTGTTCGCGAGGCGAACCGGATAGCCGCAGCTGAGGTTCGTGAAGCGAACCGGAGGACCACTGAGGAAGTCCTCGAGGCGAACAGGATGGCGAACATGACGATGATGAGAGTCATGTTGGAGGAGATGAGGGCTGGTTCTGCTGTAGGCCATGCTCCACCACCACCACCGCCGCCACCATCGCCACCGCCTCCACCTAGTGTTCAGGAGGAGAGCCATAGTCACATCGGCAGTGCTACTCATGCCGCTG